TTTTGTTTACTATGAACATATATGGAAAATCACACCAGAAGATGTTTCATGCCACATATCTAAGCTCTAACTCTTTCAGATTTTTACAAGAAGATTTTTTAAGATGTTGTGTAAAATAATCTTCTGGATGCCATGGCAACCAGAGTTCTATATTGAATATTATTCTTTGAACAACTTTGGTAGAGCTTCATGCAAGGAACATCCCTGCAAAGTTTGGATAACACCAATACAGTAAAGATCATATGTCGACTTTTCAGTTTAACTGCCGATTGAAGACCTGAGATGACCCTCCGTGTGCTATTTCTTGCACGATAGGACATCTAAGTGAACCATAGACGTTTCGTTATCAAGCTGGATAGTTTCGTCACATTTAAGAATCAAAAGATAAAGAAACCATTTCGTGCCTTCGACGGCGAGGTGCAATTGGTGTGAAGTCAACAAACCTAACCAATTGGCAACAGACGCCCTAAGTCAAGCTTGTAAATTACAACATAATATAGCACAACATATGAATGGAAATGTTATGTGGAAAACGATATATCAAAAGAAATGTTGGCGTTTGTGTAACAATCATCAGAATATTTTTTTTTAAAAAAGGAGAAGCACAGGTTATTCGTGATAGCTTCTGACAAAAAAAATGATTGTAAATAGGGCCCGTAAGTCTCGTTTACTATCACTTTCGATTTACCACTTCCGGGTACATCGGCAGACTTATTTACCTACCGGCTCCTTTGTTAAAAGCGGTCTAGTAAATCACTTACCGACCGGTTAACAGGTCTGCAAATAGATACCGACCGGTTATTGTTCTATTGTTCTCTATACAATAGAAACTATGTGAAGCCGAGAAACTCGTGCATTACAGTACACAATATTCACCGTAAAATAACGCTAAATTGTGGTGGAGGGGGGGATAATGACCACTTTGAATAGGAAAAAGGGTCGATATATATTTCAAAGATTAATCGAAATAAATTAGCGTATACGGCTGTAAGTACCCTCATAACTTATATTCCAGATTATTTGTGAGAAAAACGAACTGGCTACTGTTCTGGCGTTAAAGTTTTGTGTTTCGCCGATATTAATGAGTATAACAACGCACATTAAGCCTTTCTTTAAAGTTTGCTTTTCGGTATACCTAACGCATGTGCCGAACTATATATATTCATAAGATACTAGTTTTCGGTATTTATTTCCACAACTATGTCTAAATTTGCACAATCCTGCATTATTTTAACAATTCTGCATTATAGGATATATACGACGATTATATTATTGGTGCATATCGAATCAAAGTCAACTTCTGCATCTTTCCTTCTTCCAAAATATTACTTTCAGTGAGAGTATAGTTCATCTTAAGTATAAGACTTTTTTTTTCTGATTTTTTCCCAGTTATTTTTACATTACAATATGGATTTTGTATACCAGTACCAAGAATACGACTTGCGCTTGTGCTTACATGCGGTCTAATAACGGATGATGCTAATTAATAATACACGGAAAGAAAATTCTTCCAAACTTGGATGAAATTCTAAGAACATTTAAAAACAGCCATCATAAAAAACAACAACAAAAAAACCCAACTTACATAACGGTGTAACTACATGTATTACTAATATTTATTCATAGAACCCCGTCTTGTATTTCCTTTGAAAAAATCGTATATTTTAATTACATGTATATAAGAAATAGCCTGATCATCTATTTACCATGAGTATATATAAAGATAAAGTGTTCCGTTTTTATGATTAGAAAACATTTTTATCTTCCTATTTGTTTATATTATTAATATGTTATGTATTCACATATCAAAATAATGATCTTACCTTTCCCTACTCGACAAGTTCTGTTTTCATTTTCTGTGACTCAACTCAACAAGTACATTACCTAATGAAACCCCACGAAAATCACGAGAATGTTCAAATAACACCTGATTTGTGAACGAATGAATTACATGAGCGTAGCGGATGGTATCTTTGCTTGGCTTTGGAATGCTTACTTAAACATGATAAAGTACATAAGTAACATGTTTCTTGTGAGTAATATTAATAAATACTGAGTTAAAAACTGATGTATGGATAGAAAAACAAAAGAGCATGTAGGTAAGATAGTTACCGCACTCGGAATAGGTCTGCATAGTATTTACAGACCCGGTGGCCTTTTAAAAACCTCGATCGCTACGCTCTCTCGGTCTTCAAATCGCCACCCGGGTCTGTAAATACTATGCAGACCTATTCCTCGTACGGTAACTATTACTTACCGTTACGCATATAGGTAACCCGAAGAACTCGAGGGATATAGAAGTTGAATTTGTTTCGGTCCTGTTCAGATTTGAAGGAATGGATAGCACGGGTCAAAAAATGCAGGTAGGTCAATTATCTGACGGAAAAACGAAGGATTTATAGAGTTTAATAAAACTAGTTTATTTTCGGATAGTGACAATTGTTTCGGATGTTTTGTCAAGGTAGTGAATTCTAGTTGTTTAGCTTTAAGTATTTTTTTTAAAACTACTGATGTGAGAAATTAATTCAAACCATTTTAACTTATTGAAATAAACAATGAAGAAACACTTTAATTCTAGTGTATATTAAAGTTATTCAAAATTCGGACATTGCACAGTAATTCGGATATTTTTCCCTTCCATTTTATTCTTGTTCCTTTTTCAATTATATATATATGTTAATATGGTACCTAGCAAATTATGATTGAATTAAAAAATATAATATTTGATTAAACCATTTCAGATGTATAGACAAGGAGGTATATGGCAAGTATAGAATATACAGTTGTTCAATATGGACCATTAATCAACTGTTTGCACTGCCTATGATCCTGAAATATCTATACATCAAAGGTAAATACATGTAAAATAATTGATTAATTTTTAGTTGAGATCGGAAAGATAAACAATTATCAAAATATAGTATTATAATTTAATAACTTTTGGATTTCACTGCATGATAATTGATAAGTAAATAAAACATTAAAAATATCTGTCTTTATTAGAAATAAATAACCTGACTTTATTAGAAATAAATAACCTATCATTTGTAACTTTGTATTAACTTAATTATTCAAAGATAATTTATCTTCTGCAAATGGCTGTCAAAAACAGTTTCAACCAGGCATCATGTAGTTTCAAAATAGTTAAGATAAATTTGTTATAAATAGACTTGTAAATTAACAGGAATGGTAAAAAGATAAATGTTCAGCATTAAAATGTTTCTATCTTGATTGAGTTTCATTTCATATTATCACCATGATCACTGCAATTGTAAAAGTAATGTAATCTTTAACTGGTGTCAGATGCGAATGATGTTGTATCAAAAAACAAATTTATTAGATTTACATGGAAATGAAAATATTACAACATTTATTGGGATAAACTGAATTTGAAACGACACACCCACCTGAAGATTATACGAAGTTGTCTTTCATTGATACTTGTTCACAAGATGAAACCATTTGCATTTCGTTACAAAACAAAAAACTCTGCCAATTTCCACATATCATTTGCTTTTCCATGTAAGTTTTACTTTCCCACCGGCATACAAGTATTACCCAATATAGATAAGCAATGTTGTTGATATTTGTTTGTACCCGGAAGTGCAAAATATCGTGAAATCTTGCAAGTCACATGACGAGACTTACATACCCTATTGATTAGAACATATCTGATAACAACCAGATACGAACAGTTTCACAGAAACTATCTTTGTGTTATGATAACATTGCAAAAACGTACAATGACTGAAAAACATTGTCTCAGAACGGCGCTCGAATTATTGAATAAAAAATATAGCGTATCATAACTTCATTAATTTTTATGTGTAAAAAGAGTCTATGCTCAACACGAAAACACTTAGTATATTCCAAATAATTATATTGATGATTGCTGAACAGTATAACGTAAAAGAAATTATATTTTCTGATACAAATAATGAAAAGAAAATAAACAAAATAAACACGGTTATACGACGGTTACATTGTAACAATTTGCAAAGGAGACATATACAAAACTGATCATAAAATAAGATATACATATGTATACATATTATTGTAATAATGTAAGCAATGGGTATAATAGAATAAAATTACAATATATACACGAGAATAAGGTTTACTTTAATGCAAAAACGTTTGCTTTGAGGCAATCCATGGACACAGAGTAAACAAAGAATATCTCAATCTAATCAATCAATGGATAAAGGAGTTCAATCTTTCAATTGTAAATTTTTACTTAAACATTGATCAACGGGGATACTTAAAACGTAAAAATGTGTAAATTATCATATACGTAGAAACATGCTCAGAATTAAATTGAAAATTGAATTTTGTAACATCTTAGCCCAAAAAACTCGGGGAACCGGGTTCAAAAATTAAAAATTTATTTTTTTCCGAAAAAATTTGGAAACGATAAAATTTATCTTTAAAAATTTGCCCATGATTGGTCAAAAAAATATCCCAAAATGGCATAAAAAATCTTAAAACCTACTAGACCCCCCCCTCAGTTTTCCCCCTCGTTCCAATTTTTTATAAACCCTTTTAAAAAACAATTTTAACCGGTTTAATCACAAGAAGCAAAAAAAGAGGTGTTGATAGTTTTCCCTGGGAAAACAATGGGCAGTAAGAACACATTTTATTTTTAAGGGAGTTACCCGTTCAACCACTCATAATTTCCCGGGCAGGCCGTCAAGCAGTTTTTCCAAATATTATTTTTTTCCATCATTCCCAAAAGGGAAATGAAAACTTTTTTACTACCCAAAACGGGGAAGTTTTTCCCCGGTGCAAAAAATTACCGTTTTGGAAAAGGAATTTTTTACCCCCAAAATTTTACACAACGATAGTGACCTGCGCCAATTCGGGACGCCAATTCACAGTCCTTCGCTTTACATATTGAGCCAACCGGACGGCTATCACTCTTTTTTTTCCATATAAGTACAAGATCAGATAAAAATACCATATGTGCTTTTGAACATTTATGAAGTTAAACAAATAGTGTTAAAATAAAAGTATTCCTTTTGCATTTAACATACTTTTTTTCTTTTTATTTTTGTAATTTATTTGATAAAAGGATAATATACGCTGGAATGGTTATATCCATTTTATTGAAGCAGCCTTCCTATTGTTGAACATTATGAAAATACCAAGTACAAATATGGCATAATACCCCTTCTTCAGAAATTAATCATAACAAATTACTTTATCAAATACTGTATTCCTAGAAATGTTCGCGGATACAATATTTCGCGTTTTTTCACAACGTCGGCATTTTCGCGAGACAAACTTTCGCGGATTTGTAGTAACCGTGAATTCCGCGAATATTAACTCGCTATGGCCTAAATTACAGCTTTTTTAGGCTACGTATAAACCTACATGTATTTGATTTTCGATTTATGAATGTCACATAAATAATTCAGCAATTCATGCAATTCATGATTGACATTAAAATCTATAAACTAGATCAAGTGTATAACTCAAAGGTAGCAGGAAAATTTCCCGGTTTTTGTTTTTATTTGTTTGGGTCGTCAGACCAAACAAATAATGGTAGCGAAATTTCAGACTGTAATGCTGTTAATTAAAAGTGCCGAAAGCAGTCCGCTTTTTGAAGCGGTTACTTCCCTTTATATGTAAACTAACGCCGAAAAGTCAGGGGAGATCACTGCGTAAAGATGGTCAAATGGCAGGCGCATTAATATTCAAGCAAAATAATTCCCGAATGGTCGAAATATTTCTATTATTGTTTTATTCTTTATAGATATACATGCTTATAGTAAGCTCCATGATTATTTACATCTGTGTTAAACAACAGTTAGCGTCGTTACAAACCCTAATATAGAATAACATAGTTTTTTCAGGCTGTTAACAAATAACTTCACCGTGGCCGAGGGGTTTGCGCGCTCGTTTAGGAAGCGAGAGGTCTGGAGTTCAAACCCCATTTAAGGCAATTTATTTTTTTTCTAATTGTTTAAGTCAAATAAACATTGGATTGAATATCAGTATTTAAATTAGTCTTATAGCCAATTTATTACAATTAAAACGCTGGAAAGCATTGGTGGCACTTTACAAAAACAAATTGGTTTATAATCTCACAACCTTCACCTTCCTGACATTCTGCGACCTAAACAAATTCAGCGCCTTCTGTGCTTTGATCTGTTTTTTCCCCGGTCCAGACGTCTGGATTTATATAACGGTTATGTTGTGCTACTTTAACAGTATTTGGACTGTACATCGCTATCATTATAACAATATATCATATGTTTATCAATGTAGCTATTGTACTTTAAACAACGATTAAAACTTCTCCAAGCAATAAAATCCAAGTCATTTTAAATTAATGTACGCAAACTGTAAATGCTTTGTATACGCTGTGACTAGCAAATAATGTAAATAAGCGTGATAATTACTAATAATTGACATTTTTTCATGTTTTTTTTTTCATGGGCATTATAGGTATATTGAAGTGTAAATATGGATTTCAAGCTAAAACATGTGGTGGTTTAGTAAGGAGATGAACTTTACATAACTTTTACACATTTCTATAGCACCTGTGTTTATATGTTATGGTGTAAGTAGATTATAATAAATATTTGGAACGTTTATGTTTTTATTTGGTTGAAGCTAGAAATGTTCGCGGATTTGTTATAAGTGACATATTCGCGGCTATAAAGATTCGCGTAAGTAATCATGCCGACCGCGAAAAGCGCTAACTTAAAATGCGCGAGATCTTTTCTAGGAATACAGTAATATCTAGTTTTCACTTGTTCTTCAGATATTTATACTACTTACTCGAGAAGTGAAAGTTGAAGAACTTTGCAAGCTTTAGTACTTTCGTGCATTAAAATGTGTAAAGGAGGTGCATCTAAGCTTCTATCCAGAGTCGTCCATGAACAGCTCAAACAAATCGAAATGCAACTGCTCTTTAAGCGCCAATTCTGATTGCAAAAGTCATCACGAGTTTCTGAAAATAAGCAATGTGCTCCCGAACGTAACTTAAGATCTCTTATGATACAACTGCTGCAGATGCTCGTATGCACAAAACGTAATTTGAAACATATAATCAGACATAATCATCAAACTTCAACAAGAAAATTGGATAGCATTAAAATATTGCTAGACTGGTTTCTGAATGATTATCAGTTTTATTTGTTAATGTTACTTGTTATGAAGATGTAAACATAGACACATTTCTTACTGTTAGCTTTAACGAAAGACATTGATTCTGTCATAAAATGTTGATTTACGAACCATGGATAACAGGAAAATGGTGATAAATAATTTTAACACATTATCAAAACAGTGTTCACATAACTTTTTTTCCATTACCTTGCTAACTATTTGTCTAATGTATTTGTTCTGCTTTAAATGACAGGCTAGAATATCCGTTACTGGTTGTGTGTGATTTAAATATCATAAATACAAGTGCGTTTGGGTGTTTGCAAGATTCATTGATCAAATTAAGAATCAATCGAATACGTACTTCAACTGCTTGTTGAAACAAAAAAGTATGGAAGACGCAACTTCATGCTTTATTGTACGCAAATCTGTCTTTCATCTATCCCCACTCAATGATATTTCTTTTAAAAACTGAACCAAAACTATGAATGTTTTAAATCTACTGCATTACTTGGAATACATTTGTATACGGCCGTTGTACATATTAAAGTAAATTATTCAATTACATGCATTTTTGTTATTGTTATAGTAAATCTGAACGCATAATATTAAAAACAGTTTCATATACGTAGGCACTGTTGTCTTAAAAGAAGTGTAAAAATGGCTCCATGAATAGAGAAGAGACAATCATTACAAAATACTCTCTCTGAAGCAGCAAGTACCTAACTGTTATTCTGTAATGA